TTTTGATTGCCATTATCACCACCGTGCTTGGCTACATTTCCACACGCGTTCGATTTCTTAGGTTGCCCCCATGAACCAAATCCGAGCCTGGAGTCACAAGATGAGCAACTTTGCTCATTGTTAGTAACGATGCCGATTCGTGCTCGAGAACCTGCATCACTACTGCACCTGACATTAAATCCCTCCTTGTTACAATTATGCTGTAGGGACGCTTGTGAACCAATTAAGGTCTTCCATTTATTACGACCCAATGACAGAATTCGGTATTGCCCGTCACCAATCAATGACAACAGGGAACTTGCGTTCTTGTTGATTACAATAAATTTAGTCTGATTACCGATCCTCATGCCGAGGCAGATCTTGTTGAAGGGCGTGCTCCAGTAGCTTGGTAACTTGGTCTGTTCTGAGTCAAACCCAGTCATTCCTCCTTGGATGTTATATTCCTTTGTATTCTCCCAGTAACTGGACATATAATCAAAAGTTTCCTGGAAGATAATGTAAGATCATATCTTACAAATGTAGCCTTGCTGTGCTTTTGCAGCATGAAGTCACCGAATTATCATTACCCCTCCAGGATAGATGTCAGTCTATACCAGGTTCCCCCTCCTTCCAGCAATTCGTCTGCTTCACAACTTATTTGCTGGTACCCGAGTTATAGTACTCCTTACTGGAAAGAGGCAATGTGGCGTCTCGCCTTCAAATATTGAAATGATTGAACTAGTCCTGAAACCTTCACTTATAAACTTATAAATTATGTGCTCAGAGCGCTAACTACTAGGCTAAGACGTCTCTCGTAGTCTGTAGGAAAAAGAAGAAGGACAAATCTGAAACAGGAGAGCATTAAGAAATGAACTAATGAATGAAAAAACCGTGCCTATATGTTGTAATGGGTGAATGCTGCCTGAGATAATATCCACGTTTTTTCATCGCCAGCCTTGGAAAAAAAATTTTTTTTAGCCAAATTTTTTTTATACTATTTTAAATCATACATTACTCCCATTGATCTTCATGACAGGCGTCCACCCTCCATCTCCACATCCAAAATCTCCCATTTGACAGAGAATGGGAAGTCGACGTGAACCAAAGCACAGAGATACCAACTGACTCACGTTTGACCTGCGAATGAACGGTCTTCCTTGAATACAGCTGAGATTTAAGGTTTGAGTGAGTTGTTATTTTCATTGTATATACTATATATAGCATACAAGTTTTTTTTTCTTTTCTTTTTTTTTTTGCTGAATAACTAGACTAACGTAAACGTATTTGCAAGTTCATTATTATATTAATCGTGTAGTTCTTCAATTAATCAATCAATCCTTATTAAAAAGAAAAAAAAAGTTAGAACGACCTCAAAAATTGATAAATACTCGCAACTGAGTTTTCGCAGTTGCACCAGAACTCAATTTAGGCTTCTTTGGTCGAACGGTCGAGGAAAATAATTGTAAAAGGAGCACGCTCAAAATATCACACAGCTGAGGCTAAATTATGAAAAGAGACCAGCACAGTGCCTTCCTCTTACCTTTGAGCATCATACACTTCTTGGCATGACTGTAAAGCTGAAAATGAGGGAAAGAAGCGACAAGTTAAAAAAGTCGGTCGTACCATTCTATCTCTTTCTAAATATCTAATTATACAGAGAAAATTGCAAGAACTATCGCATCCTTCTAAGCCAGATGCAAGAGAGACGTTTCTTAATTTTCGATTATAAAAGCACCCTCGTTACCTTTTTCGCAATATTTTCCAACAAATCCTATATTGCAGAGACATTTAGAGCCATCCCCTCCATGGTTTTCCTGACATGTTCCTCCGTTTTGGCAAGGCGCAGAAGTACAAGAAAACGGAAACTGAAACTGAAAGGGAAATTTGATATAGATAATTGCTGCAAAAAATGCAAAGAATTAAAACGGTTTACCGAGGTTTCAGGGAAAGATCTCAAATAAACATCTCCCTTCAAAATCAAAAACAATTTCATTTTGAAAGCAGAACTCTAAAATAAGAAATGAATCCTGGCGCATCCTACCGAGAAGTGATGCGAACTCTTGTTTCCGCTGTACTGGCTGGCATCTTTGTATTTATCAGAGGAAAGTAACTCGCACCATAGCTTTCCATCAGCTCCTCGAAGTACAGCTACGTTTATGGAAAGGCACAAAGGGTTACTAAGGCATTCAAATGTGCAGTCAAAAAAGTCGTATACGGCAAAAGTTCTAAGTTTAGACACATTTAGATAATGGAGTTTCTCTTTTTTAAATAGACCCTGTTGAAATGTTCGAGGAGCTCCGGTCTTCGAAATGCAGTCTCCTGTTGTGAAAAAAAAAAGAAAGACGTTATTAGCATCATTATTATCTACTGAATTTTTCTCTACTGTGAGAACTCAAGTTGAAGGAATCGAATGACACAGGATGGTTTTGACTTGTTTTTTATTGACCTGATAACTTCCTCCTTGGCCAACAGTGACGCACAGAAGGACCCCTGCCCGCACTTCCAGGTAACGTTTATGAGACAGACTTCACCGATATAAAGAACTCAACGTACTAAACGATTTTGTTCGATGCGAAAAAAAAAACCCGCTTTCAACATTTTACGCCCATTTCTGTCAAAACAGATACCCACAACTGAATTAAAACCTCAAGTCATGGCTCTATGAGCTCTTTCGACAACAAAATGCAATAATTCTTGTCCATTTGTAACCGTACTTCTTTATTTCGAAGTTTTTCTTTAAGTTTTTTTTTTTATTATTATTATTATCTTGCCTGAGAATTCAAACTAATAGCTATATAGACATTTATGCCAGAATTGTGTACTAATTATGCTAATTATACTAATGTTGCCCATGTCATATATGCTTCAATGAAAATGGAGACTTGATTATAAGCTGATACAGGAAAAAGAATTACTGAAAGCTGCTTGACATGCAGCATAACCTGGAAGATAAAATCTTGTAGAGTGAAGATTTTTTTTTCTGAAGGATATATTTTGGATTTTGTTCGATAACGTCGAAAAGGACCATTTCTTCAAAACGGCAAATTTCATTTGTATCCATATCATCATATCTGTAGAACCCTGCCTAAAACAAATTACTCATCTATTTAATTATTTTGGGATGCGAGCGTTAGCCTAATTTTATTCAAGGCGAAATGGAACTACTGTGAAAAATCTAACATGGTTTTAAAATTTTTATCCTTTCCAAAATTACGTGAGAAAATCATTTATCACTACCTACCTTGAATAGTAGCCAAATTGCCGTAAACGAAAACTTCCAAGAAAGAAAATGCCCCGAACAGGATAAACACCGAGTATCTGCATCGTTTCATAGTGGAACTTTGGTCGATTTTTCGAGGAAACCTTGTTGAAATTATAACGTTCGTTATTTTTTTCGCTTTTTGTTGGCTTTACCGGTTAATTGCTGCAAATCCCTATGCATTAACTGGTTTTTGTAGTCACCTCGCTGCGTGTCTAAACTGGTGGCCACATCATTTCTCAGATTAAGAGCTTTTGGGTCCTAAATGATAAACATGAATTATTTATTTCAAAACTGGTGCTTTGATAAGGATCTTTTCATTGAGGAAATAATAAACATTTTTGGCGAAAATGTATTTTGCACGATTACAATAGAAGCTATTAGCGTCCTTCAAAGATTAATTCGTATCTCTTTCTTATTCTGTTGAGGGCATGGCTCTACAAAATCAATATAATTGTGTTTAACGCAACGACTAAGGATAGAGACACAAAAAACGGAAATATGATAACGTTGACCGTAGAATGTCAATGACTAACGAACCAAACCAAATGGATAAAGAGATAGAAAATCACATGGAGGTAACCATATTGAACTATCGCATTCTTAAAATCAGCTTCAATAACAATGTACTTTTTTGAAAAAAAAAAAAGGGGGAAATTTTATCTCGTTAAGGAAGAACGTTGGCAAAAGCGAAAGATGCTTTATCAAAGCTCCAACTGACTGATCAGATTGACTCTCTAACGGCAAAACTACAAACTGACAATTGAACTTTTGAGTTCCCACACAAAAGTTACCACAAACACCGCTGCATGTCTGCTTTGCATAAATCTCTTTTTTAGTCTTACTCGCGTTTCCTTTTCTGTTTCATTAAATCCTGATCGAGCGATTCCGTTTTCGTTGTTTATTCCGTTTGCACAATTTTTATAATCTGCTCTCACGTCTTTGTTAAGGACTCTAAAATATATCTTTGAAATCCGTTTGTTTGCCATAATCGGCGAGGACGTATGACATTTTACAATGGTGTCATTTATTGTAGTGATTTTGGTGTTTTTTCCACATAAAATAATACTTCAGATAAGGACGAGATCCTTTTTTTTTCTTTTTTTGAATAATTTGGCAAATGCAAATTGCCTGCCACGACGACTTCCATTACTATTTCTTCATTTTGCGAATATAATGTCTACCTTTTCGAAGTTTGAGCCTCTACTCGGTACAAAAGATTTGGAAAGACGGTATTTGGCGGGCTTTGAATTTACGGATCAGTTTTTGAAGGGGAGTTGAATTGTAAAGAAGGCCTTTGATATTTCTCGATGATAATGAAACGGTTTACACTTTACTAACGCACAAATAACCATTATAGTTCCGTTATAGATAGTTAAAATTAAACTTAACATTCGGAAACTTGAAACCAATGTTTTTCATGTACTCTGGAGTAACATTCAAAGTAAGGGAATTGATAATCATTTTTATTTGAGCTGTCATCTTATATCTAATATCAGTGCTGTATTTTCAATTACAAAAGACAATAAATCTTTTTGCTTTGTCGTAAATAGCTTAGATAAATGATGCATAAATCAAGATAATAAAAACACATCTACAATTTCTATTTATTCAGCTTTACTTTAGGCTTACTGACGTGCCACCTAGTCTACAGCTAAATTAAATTAAATTTCATTATTTTCTTTCCTGAAGCGCTTCGAGCAATATTACAGAAACACAATGACACAATATTACTTTTAGCATATTGAGAGTTCGTCGCAAGTGGATTTTATCGTATCGTGTCATTATTTTGCTTGATGCTGTTGCCGTTAAAACCGGCTATGAAGATCGTGATTTCAAAGATGTACACGGTGGCGAAATTCGATATTTTCTTCGTATTTCTATTTTTCCAAGCGAACTTCAGCTGCTCGTCAGGTCAGTGATAATAACGATTGTTTATTAAAACGGAAGGGAAGAAAACGATAGCCGATCACGATCACGATAGCCTTAGACCAGTAAAGCCGAAGACAATGATTAATCTTTTGATCGTATCCTATACAGATACATGTAAGGCATAAGCGAAGCAACACTGCAGATCATGGTCAAACAAAAATATAACATACACGGTGAAAACGAGTCGGAATTGCCAGGCGCGTGTTATTAATAGCTCTTTGCTCATACTCTTCTCCTAAGCAGACGCAAATAACCTCAATAAGCTTAAATTTTCTAACTAGCAACCTCATCGTACTACTGATTTTGGATTAGTTATAGCATAAACTTGATATTTGTCTTACTTATCTTCTCTTCAGATAATTTTTGTGAACGCCTATTTTCAAAAACCGAGTATCATTACTTGGATGTTCCACATTTTGGAACAACGAAGGTACATGACGAGCTTGCGTGCGTTTTTCAATGCCTCAGGAGCCAAAGATGTCTTTCAGTAAACATGGCCACCTCTGAGGAAGCAAATGGAAACCTTTGGTGTGAGTTGCTGTCGTCTGTAAAGGACAGGAATGTCAAAGAGTTTAAAGAAAACAAGAGTTCGCATCACTTTTCCATTATGGTATGATTGCTTACGAGATATTTCATAACGAACGAATTTTTAGTATTATTTTACAAAGAGTCGTTCATGGCTTAGACTTTTCAAAGTCGCCCTTCTGTGAGGGTGGTTTGATGAAAAAGGTGTCTAATGGCGAATTGTACAATAATTGTGTCTTTGCATACCGCGTAAACGGCACCGTTGTAATTTTAAGGTGAAGTTCATCGTGTAACACAGCGTTTTGATAACGTCTCGATTCTTTTACGTCAATATGGACCAAAATAAACAGGAAATAACTAGGTCAAACAATTTCATGTCACGTCAGTAAACAAAGAAGATTTGACCTATCTCTTCAAGATGCTATCGGAACATTATGAGACTTTTTGAACTGTATTTTTTGGGAACGGTACTTTAAGCAAGTAGTAATATAAAACATAATTGGTGAGAATCGAAGAAACTGCGAGTTTTCGAAGAAATTTGAAGCGAGATTCATCGCGATTTGATTTCCTCCTAAATACTTCCGATTTATCGTAAAGCTCCTCGTAAATTATTGTTTGCTTTTGGTGATATATTGCAGTAACTCGGCTCAACGACAAAATATCGCATCAGGGCTAAATTTTCGGAAATTACTTTCATGCAGTCAAGCTGATTAACTTTGTTTTCATTTCAGTCAACTTGCCCATCCTCGAGGTGTCTCAACAGAGGCACCTGTCTATTAAATGACATTGGAAATGATCCATTTGAATGCCTTTGCGAGGAAGGTTATGTGGGAAAATACTGCAATACAAGTTAGTTATAAAGCTTTGTACCAAAGTGCTTCATCAGATCATCCCTATAGATATATCAATGAGGTTTTTAAGCAGAAATAGGATACTTACGGGGCTCTCTTAAAAGTAATACAAGCCTTAATATAATTTAGAGAGAGTTATATCAAAGTTACCTACCCTGGATGATTTTGATATCCTATCATTTTAATGTATAAATAAGAAATTACTACTTCATTCAAGCTTTTTATGATATCTGGCTTAAATGTGCTACGATTCGGGTACGGACTTAAATTCATGAGCAGCTGCTGCTCTGGTAATCCGAAAAACAAAAGGCAATGACAAGTAAACAGAAAAAAAACCGCTGGGATATCTAAAAAAAGGGTAAGTCCAGTTATTATGCAATATTTAAATTGGTGGCTTCACAAATTTCGAACATTTTGGCAATTCTTTGCAATCTCAAAATGCAGTTAATGTCTTAATTTCAAATATATAAAAGGATGATTGAGAAAACCACTAAGGCAATAAATTTTTTCTTCACTTTCAGTTGCGAAGTCATGCAAAGAGCTCAGTGTAGCTTACAAGTGAGTTTTATTCTAGCTAGCCCCCCCCCCCCCCTGCCTATCCTAAATTTGTTGTAACACAGAAGTACAACGCCTAGGGAAAAGTAAATTTAACTTCTCGCCAGTCTTTTTTTTATTATCATTATTATTATTATAATTTTTTTAAATTCCTATTTGTTGTTTAATATAGATTTCCAACCTTGTATACATGTTTACCAGAGAGGAATTTTTGCATTTACTCTCAAAAAGGGAGTTTCACCTTATCGTTATTGATGTCCTTAGTGGCTATGCCTGCACTTGCGTTCCCAAAGAAAACAAGAACGACATGCAAAGAAGCTCGTAGCTAATAAGCATAAGAAAATCGGTAAAAATTCAGGGATGCAGCTCACTCTCCAAGCAAGTTCTAGAATGTATGAGTATAAGAAAAGAATGTGAAATGCAAAGGAAGAAAGCTCCTTTTGACCCAGGATGTTTACATGTACCTTGTCTTTTGCATAGTTTAAACTTGAATCGACTGGTCACGCTTCACTTTGACTCCAAAGCAATCTCCATTTACTGTCACACTGGAGATTTCGGGTGTGGAGATGGAGCATGGACGCCAGTCATGAAGATTGACGGCAGCAAGGTATGGTTTTAATCCATCTTGTGCGTAACGAAACTAACGTTCGATCAGTCAAAACGTGAGCCAAAAAAACCAGATAAGATAGAGCTAATCAAGATTTGCATGCTCTTTTTTTGTGTCAAACAAGTACGCTGCCCACCGCAAGAATAAAATATCCAGAAATGTAGCAACTGCAGCCATTTAAATGGAACACAGCCAAACGAGTCACGACAACAGATGAAATTACCCTATTAACGTTAGTTATGGCCTCTGCAAAGTTTTCTTAGTTGTTAAGTTTTTGAAAGACAAGATTAACCTGGATTAGGGTCCTTATCAATTTTCGTTTTTGACAATTTTAACTCAAACATTCGAGACAGCTCGGACCTTAAACAAAAAAATCGTGGCAAAACTGGCTTAAAAATAAAGGATATTTCAAAAGTAGCTCCAGCTTGACAATGCACGCCCTTCATGAAACATGTAGAACCTTTAAGTCCTAAAATGGAAAGCAGCTCTTTATGTTTTGCCTCTCTTGTAGTGCTGTGATTTTAAGATTGGTTTATTTGTGAGAATTAATTTAATCAATGCATTCCGGACGAGGTTTGAGCGGGTGTGCTAAACTAACGATTGATTGGAGATGTCCTCGTCATCTCCAAAAGTATTCACATTAGTTACCAAATTTACTCAAAATGATTTTAATATCATTTTAGAGCACCTTTCACTACAGCTCAAGCTACTGGACGGATAAAAATGAATACAGCGTCTTGGGAGGAACAACTGGATTTGATTCACTAGAAACCAAGCTACCGACCTACTGGAATACACCCTTTTCAAAGATCTGTCTTGGTATGAAGATTGGGCAACAGCTCAACTTTATTGTCATCGAGAGGCAGGCTGACTCTCTGTACTCACTGATCGCTGATGGGCAATATCGCAACACATCACTGGGTCGTGAGAAGTGGAAATTGCTTATTGGCTCACAAGCCTCCTTACAGTACCACTGTGATAAGGAAGGGTTCAACGCTGTTTGTAGCTGGAGTAAAACTTCCAAAGCTAGAATTGGTATCTTGAGTAACAATGAAGATCTTTGCTCCAGTTGTGATTCTAGAATCGGCTTTGGGACGGGAGGGACTCCGGATGACTCTAACACATGCGGAAATTCCGCAGTGTACCTAACAGATAACGGTAAAAAACTCATCAAGGCCATGGGATATATCTTGGTTCAGTGACATGTACACGTCGAAAAAACACACTTTTTTAGCAATGTAAATATTTAATATTAAGGCGATCTTCGTATTCGTTTCATAATCCGCGGTTCAAATATATGCTATTTATTTATTCACAGTCATTTATTCATCACTTCACAGATTTATTACGAACCAAAATAATGACTAGCTCTCAATTGGCTTGTTAGCTCATTTGGTAGAGCACTGCACCGGTGCCGCACGAACTTGAATTTTTTTTCAGGCATTATTATTACTACTGCTTAAGTACTGCTCATTATTGTGAAGATCGCTTTCGTATTCATTTCTTAATAAGCAGTTCATATATATGATTTTCATTTATTCATACAGTCAGTGTAGAATTATGTTGGCAACTAAGCTACCCAGGCCACGTCAATGGAGATTTATCGCTTTCGCAAATTTAATGTTTCATACTGATCTTACCTCTATTGTCCCTTAGTCGCCAGTTACCTTATAGCTCATGAAAAAATCATAAAACGGATATAACTGGAGACACTCAAACGGGCCCTTGTCGTCGTCAATTTATTTTATTCTGAATCGGAATTGGTGTGTTTATATTTGTGGAAAAGGGAAAACAGCAGGAAGAAAAAAGAGAAGAAAAAAAAACAAGCCATAGTGACTGAGTTTACGAATGTGCATTCAACTCTCATGCTTCTGCCCCTTCCTCCGTTTTCCCGCCTCTATCATCTGGTTAGGTGCGCAAAGTATTTTAGGTTGATGATCTGTAATAGTTGCTCCGTTATTTCGTATTTGGGGTTTTCCTGGGTTTTCCCCAGAAAAAATGGCTCATTGCGTAGCTTTCGAGTGTAGTAATCAGGCAAAAACCAAGCAAGATCCCAAGCTTCGCTTGTTTTGCTTCCAAAAGGACAACAGTTTACGACGCGCATGGATCCATGCTGTTGGAAAGACATCTCCTCCAAAGATTCCCGTCTGTGTTCGGATCATTGCGGAGGCAATTGCTACTATAAATCATGCCTAATGGAAGTAAGGATAGCTTTGCTTACAGGATAATGACTGGATAGGCATTTGATAACAGAGGCCCTGCAACCATGACTCTTTAGTAACTCAGAGTGCTTTGAGCACCCAGCAAGATGGCGGACGCGGGAAGTTCGACCTTGCCGTGAGGCGGAAGAAAATTAACTAGGTTAGAGGAATAATTCTAATTATCGAGCAAATTTTTCTATTTCACAGTCTAGTGTTATAGGTATGCATATTCCTGTAAGATGAAGAAAACGAAGGGTAGAAGCTGTATATGGAAATTTTACATAAAAAAAGATAAAATAAAATGGACAAGAGAAGAAAAATTCACGATTTTTAGGAATTTAAAGGTAGGGCAAGTATATTCCAAGAATATTCCAAGAATGAAACGAAAAGCACCCTTTTGAAGAAGAAATACAGGATTGAGACCTCACGGGTACCACGGGTATCACCCCACACTATTAAAGAAAAAAATGAGGAACGGGTAAATAAGAGCGTAATATAATTCGACGAGGTGTAACTGCTCCCGTTGAAGCTGAGTGTTAACGCTTCCGAGAAAAGCTGCGAAATGTTTACTGGTAAGGTTGACGCCCCCATGATCAGTTCTTTTTAGACAGAAAATTATAGTTAGCGTTTTAGTTCAAGATAAGACCCCGTGTGATCAAGATCGTTTTTGAATAGAAGACAAGTTAGACTGGTCATCCCCGATAAAGTAATCAAGATCCGCGAACGTTGGCAAGCAATAACTTGTTTTGTGATTATGTTATCTAGCTCGTAGTTGTTACTCAAAGCGAAATTTATCGCTCGTTTTTACCTTTCTTTTAGTTCCTTTAATTGCCACGCGCTCGTTTCCAAAATCGAGTTTATTCTTAAGCTATGATCACAATACTTAGGTGATTTCTTTACGAAATAATTTCAGTTGACCGCTTCGATATAATAAGGCCCCAAGGAATGGGGAAGGGATAAAGAAAGAAAAGATCCCATATTGCTTTGGTATTCATCGCATGCGCGTGTATCAACCCGGGAATCGAATTTGCAACTCTAGCTTGAAAAGAAACATTTACAGAGGGTATTAGCATTAACAGGTGATATTATTTTAGAGATTAATCCATTATTACATTATTTTTTTTAGTGATACGTGCAACATGAAATTTACAACAAAGATGAGCGTTAAGCCGCACTTCAAGATATTGATTATAGTTTTCCTCATCTAAGAATTTACCATTTATTGATAGACTAAGCTTATGATTTTTTCCTGTCTAAATTAGTTTAGATTTTCTTACGTTATATCTAATTCCTTTTAATTAGCGGGAGCCCAAGCTATTCTTGATTCTTGAAGGATCCTTATAAACCTAACAATCTGTAAAAGTTTGAGATAAATTGATGAGATGGAATGTATCACACCTGCCTGGTCCTCTCTTACACAAACTCTTGAGTCCTGGCTTGTGTGCTTTTCCGACACAACTAACCAAATTGTTCTCCTTAAATGTTAAAACATTATTTCAATGGAGTTGGTATTTTCAGCCAACTCTGCCCACGAGACCAAAAAAAATCATTCATTGTATCACCAGGCTCTAATATTACCATCTCTCTTTTTCTATTTACTCACACTAGGGCAAACGACATTTCACATCCTAGAAGAATGCAGGACAAGTGAATCAATTTTTTACCACATAATTAATTCTCTTTATCTCAGTGGCAGAGCATTGGAGCGCGTAAAACGGAGGTCTTTGATTCGAATCTTGGCAATGGAATAAGAAGTTTTTCTTTGTACGTTATTCGAGCAAAACACTCTAGTTGTCTTTTGCACGTCATCTCCCGACTACTTGGTGTCGATGTTATTGCATGTGACTACAAATTATGGTTATCGTTGCCGTTGTTGTTATCATGAACATTATCGTAATAACCATCGTAATAAACATCTTTGTTACATCCAAAAATCACAGGTGTTCCGTGCAATCTAATTGGCTTTCCGCAGTGCGAATCGCGCTATATATATATTTGGCGTAACGAATGACTACTAATTTTTTTTCTGTAAACAGCTGGTTTGTAATATTACACCATAAAAAGTCGGTAAGATAACATGTAAAGAGTAGCTAAAACCAAAAATGTTTATTGTGTTTTTTCGAGCGTGGGACAAAGAAAGCAATCTGAGGCCATGAGAGGAGTCGAATAAAAGGCCTACGGGTTTCGTACTCAGATGCTCTGCCTCTGAGAAACCAAAAACTCTCTGGTGAGCCTAGCAATTACCAGGTTGAAATGTGACACGCGCCTTGCGTACTATCAAGATGAGCAATTTCGTAAGGTTAGTGTGAATAAATATACTAAGGGAGATGGATGATGATCCCGGTAAGAATATGACGAAAGTTGTTTTTCGTCTCGTGAGCAGAGTTGAATGAAAATCCTACATCTTTTGGGAAAACATGATATACAGAGAACATTCTGATTAAGACTGCCACGGGAAAGCATTGAAACCATGCCTGAAGCTCCCTCCATGGAAGCGACGTCTTCGGACGGAAAACACGACAAAATGTTTCCAATTCGCACGAGAATACGGACAAAATTTTCTTTCTCAACGCCTTAGCATTGTTATCTAGTGTAACGCACACGGAGCTCCACTTAAAAACAATAGCAAAACCTTGTTCCCTTATTAAAATTTCGAACCGATTTACATTTTCATTTTGTTTATCGTTTCCGAATTGTGTTCATGAAGTGCGTCCCGACTTACATGTTTTGCTGCAGCCCAGTTTAAAAGCTGTCTTTAAGTTAGAGAGCTATTTTTAATTTCATATTAGTTCTTTCAAGTGACCTTTTAGACAACGGTGAACAAGTTGTATTTCCTTTGTCCAAGGAGTGAGTCCAGTTCTAGTAAGATGACAAGGTCTAAGATAAAACAAACCACAATAAGAAACTCGATAAGTGCTTGTTTAATTTGAGTAAAACTACGATAAGGTTCAATTTACGAAAACAATGGAGCCAAAGTTTATTTTACAGCCATACTGTGATTCACCGTGGTTTTAATCTACGTCCTCATTTATTTGTAACTCCCGAGTCGATGGCCGCTTGGCTCTTTTGTCTCTTTATCTTGCATCATCTGTGTACACTTCAACCGTCGCGCAATCTGGCAGACCTTCCTTTCGCGCTTAAGTCTCAGCTTTCCATTACACTACGAAGGAAGAGAGATACATTTCATGACATACAGATTCAGAAATACATTCCGTTTTCAAAGTTTAAATTACTTTTAAGGGTTTATGGTTAATGAGCAGCTCAGTTTTAGTTTGACTCACTCTCAGGATAACGCGGCGAAGGGTTTACTGGATCTATATGAGCTGAATTTACCAGCCTACATTGGGGCTGTGCATTTTCACGTACATACCACACTCCCTCCCGGACATGATAATCCTATGCCGCCAGATCCTTGGATAAGGAGCACAGAGAGCAGAAACAGAATACTGAACGTAACTCTTGCTTCCATCGCCTTGTGAAGTTTCATTCAGGTTATGGTGCCTGGTTGGGTCACTTTGATGCTGCAGAAACGTAACTGGGCTTTTATGGAGTCAACAGCGTTGAACACGTGTATCTTTGTTTGTTAAGCAACGAACCAATTTTGATCACTTCCGCTCTTGGCATAAAAATAGGATAATAAGTTCTAAGTAATTAGGCATCTAGGTGACGGCCGCAAATGTATGATATACCTAATGTACTCTAAACACAATCACATTGATAATGATTCAGTTCAGGGTGGATCAAATCATCTCTGATGCGGTTGTCTTTTTCCTTTTACCTATCCACCTGTGCTCTGCATTTGGTTAATGCACAGCTCGATTTTAGTTTTACTCACTCTACTCCTCTCAGGATAACACGGCGAAGGGTTTACTGGATCTACATGAGCTGAATTTACCAACCTGCATTGCAGCCGTACATTTCCACGATACATACCACACTTCCTATTGGACATGATAATCCTTTGCCGTCAGATCCTTGGATAAGGAGCACGGAGAGCAGGAAGAGAATACTTAACGTCACTCTTGCTTGGATAATGAGTTTTAAGTAATTAGGCATCTTCCTGGTTACTCGTCGGTAAAGGTTGACGGCCGCAAATGTATGATATACCTAATGTACTCTAAAAACAATTACACTGATAATGATTCAGTTCAGGTTGGATGAAATCATCTCTGACCCAGCTGTGTTTTTCCTTTTACCTATCCACCTGTGTTCTGCTGCATTCTGATTGAGACGTCGAAACGTGAGTAATTAAGTATTATAGGAGTTGGCGGTACGATATCACAAAGTGATCGCGTACAAAAACGCCAACTCTCTATACTACTTTACATATTTTGGAAATTATTTGACGAGATCATTTCATGAAATCATTGGGATGTTAGAGTAGTTTTTTGAATAATATATATTTTTCTATACTATAGGAGATTAGCGATATTATCTCAAATCATTTTCTCATTGCATGACTTTATGTTTCAATGCTTTCCTGGTATTGTGTGACATTCTCGGAAAAACAGGAAGAAATTATCAGTTTTTGACTAAATGCTCAGACACAAAAAAAGTGGTTTCCCACGCCTCGGAATTGATATAGTAGTTCCCCACGCCTCGGAATTGGTATAGTGGTCTCCCACGCATCGGAACTGATTAAGAGGTTTCCCACGTGTCAGAATTGATATTGTGGTTTCCCACGCGTGAGAATTGATGGTGTGTATGACAATGTTTAGGAATTGTGGATCTAAAAGAATCTCATATAATGGTTTATAAAATGTTCAGCGAAATGCGCGCGCCGTGATTGGTCAAAACGAGCTCATCATATTTCCATAAAGCACGCGCCTTACGTCACACGAGTTCAGTGTTGAGATATAATGCACGTAAGCCTACGTCACCGGTCCAAGCGCGCGCAATTCACGGTACACTTTATGAAAGAAATAGAAACACTTGTTCCTCGAGCATTGTGGAGTTCTATAAGCACTTGGGAATTTTTAGGAACACTCGAGAAGTGCCAGAAGCACTCGCCTTCGGCTCGTACTTCTCCGCACTTCTCTGGTGTTCTTTTAAAATTCACACGTATGGATATGGGATAGCAAATGAGTACATCGATTACATTGAAAACAAATCTAAAATTATGAGAAAATCAATTTATCATCGAAAGCATTACATTCAGAATGCAATCTTTGACATAAGGAAAACAAATACAATATACAAATATCAACGAATAATGAAAATAAGATATTACAGGTTTTTTCAAAGATCGAGAGTGTGTTACTTCAGATTAATGGTGATCGCAAACTGAA